AGAACTTGGGTACAGGCCAGAGGTGCAGGGGTGGTGAGAGACAGAGTGGGGAGCAGAACAGGCAGATGAAGAAGTCCACTGCTGAGGGGAGCAGTGGGCAGGCCAGGAGAGCTCTGCTGTGCTGGGTGGGTCACCTCTGGGGCAGGGGATCGAACTCGCACTGAAACGGCTGTGGCCAGCTTGCAGTGCTGTGTCCTAACCTGTTGCACCACCAGGGAGGGCCTTTAAGATCATTTTTGAAGAATTGTGGCCTAAAGTATGTTATCCACTTTTCTTTAGGTAAAGACAAGTTGGCCCGTAGGAAATCAGGGGCTGTTGTATGATCGGAACTGGATGGTTGTGAACCACAATGGCATTTGCCTGAGTCAGAAGCAGGAGCCCCGACTCTGCCTGATCCAGCCTTTCATTGACCTTCAACAAAAGATCATGGTCATCAAAGCCCAAGGTATGAGCACGCGGTTCGTGCATACAAAGCAGCTATGCGGTAGCCTTTATCTTCATAAGAAAGTAAAAAATTGGCTTGTCCTCTACCAAATATTAAAATAATTCTAAGGTAAGGGAAATGGTGTCTAGCAGACATTAAAGTTTATTCCCCCAGTTTTGAGAAATTTCTGGGCAGTGTAAAGATCTGATAGTCTAATCTGAAAATAGAGAGATAATTGATTTTGAAATTATATGATGTCTTTTTACCAACATCCCTTTTATTTCTTTCACTCATCATAAAAGGTACTGCAAACTTTAATTCTTCCTCTTTTTATAGCACATAAAACTGTCTATACATAAAGTATAGACCAACTCTGTCCCATGGAACTTTCTGTGAGGATAGAAAAATTCACTATCTACCTCGTGCAGCTTGGTAGCCATTGCATATGGCTGTTGAACACTTGTGACTAGAGGGACACTGAAATGAATTTAAAACTTAACTTTGATCACTACCTGTGCCTAGTGCCACAGTGTTGGATGACAGAGGTATGGAGCGCCATATAACACGTGACTGCACTGAATTGTAACTCCTCTCAACATTTAGCTGTACTTGCTTTAGGTTCCTTCTGTTTCTCCTCTCTTCTTTCTCCCCTCCCACTGCTGCCTTTTCATTTCCTCATCCTTCATCTTTTTTTTTTTAATTTTTATTTATAACAGTTTATTTTTATATCATTTTGTACATTCCCCCCCATCTCAATCCTCATCCTTCATCTTTTAAGATAAAAAAACAAAACCTCCATGAACTTTGATGGTGAGGCAGGGGTGGGGTGGGGGTGGGGTCCTTGGGTTCAGCATATGTAAATCCCCAATTTTTTTTTGCCTTAAAATGATGTCTGACATGACCCTTTATAAGGCAACCGAGGGCCAGAGACCCTGAGTGCTTTATCCAGAGACTCCAGTAAGGGCAGAGAGGCTAAGCGTAGCCCTCTCCCTGGCTGCCGATGGCGCCCGGTGCGCTGGCACATGTCCTCATGCTGTCTATCCTCACTCTGCTGCAGCTACCGCCCAAAACCAATGCTAAGCTTATTTTACTATTCTCTTCTCTGTCGCATGCCTGCTGTTATTCTTCCATATATATCCTTTGGCATAGCAAAGCAACATCTATTACTGCTCAGCGCAGCATATTCCTTCTGTGAATTTCTGAAACATCTTGGATCAATTCTACTGACATTCCCCATACAAGGGCAGGGGTGTGGAACTGGCTCTTCACATGTAAGCAGCAGAGAAGCAGGGGGATTGTTCTTGGAATAGCTTTGACACAAACTGTGGCTTCACTTTGCTGTGGTGAAAGGCCTGTTGTGATGGGCATAGGTCTTGGGCAGCACATGAAACTCTAAGAGTTGCAGATGGACCAGATGCTGTGCTGTGCTGTGTGCAATGAAGCAGCAATGCAGGTGTGACTGACCTGTGGATACCTGATGGGCAGGTGGGGTCCCAACTGGTAGCAGTGCTGAGAGGGCTGGAGGGCACAGAGGGGACAGACAGGAGGAGGTCGTGCTTTTGCTGTCCACCGAGAAGGGGCCTCCATGAATTCTATTGAGGGCCTAGGCTTCATGCCTTTCCCTAGACTTTTTTTTTTTTAAATAAGTTTTATTTATTTATTTATGCTTACAGAACTGGCGTGCAAGCCAGAGGTGTGGTGGATGAGAGACTAGAGACAGAGTGGGGAGCAGAACAGGTAGATCTACTGAAATACACTGCTGAGGGGAGCAGTGGGTGGGTCAGGAGAAGTCTGCTTGCCATGTGGGTCAGCTCCCTGGCTAGGGATTGAATTTGTGTTGTAGTGGCTGGAGAGCTTCATTGTGCAGTGCTTTAACCTGTTGCGCCACCAGGGAGAGCCCTCCCTAGACTTTTTTTTTTTTTTTTAAAGATTTATTTATTTATTCATACAGAACTGGGGTACAGGGCAGAGATGTGGAGGGTGAGACGATTCGCCAGAGAGAGTGGGGAACAGAACAGGCAGATGGACAAAGTACACTGCTGAGGGGAGCAGCAGGCGGGTCAGGAGAGGTCTGCCTCGCCATGTGGATCTCCTCTGGGGCTGGCGGGGATCAACTCATGCGGAAGTGGCTTAAGCTTCTTAGTGCTGTGCTTTAACCCACTGGGCCACCAGGGAGGGCCCCTCCCTAGACTTTTAATGACTCCTAGAGGATAAGGAATACAGAACAGCAAAGGCCTCAGCAATTTCAGACTTTCTCAAATGTCTTTTTTTTCCTCAATAGGATGGATCAGTTTCCTTTAGTTTTACCTACATATTTCACTCTAATCTTTATATCACTTTTGCTGGGAAGTGGGGACATTGAGTATTATTATTCTTTAAACTGTTATGATGAGTGTTGTATACTTCTTTAGATGTATGCTATGTATGTCATACTGTGAGCTTTGTCGTGAGAATGAGGACTGATGCAGCAATATAATTTGAGGCTGATTCTTAGGGGCTACTGAGAATCGACAATCGACAGCGATATCTTTACAGATGGGCCTGCACTCCTGCCTGCCTATTTCTAGGATTTATGGGAGGTTAGGAAACAGTGACTTCAGGAAGTGCAATCACCAGGAGGTAGACAAATCTTTCATAGGAACTAACGGTGTCCAGGGACCATACACATGACTGCCCTCTGGTGCAGGGGCCTCCATGAGAAAGCGGCTGGATTCCAGGACATTTGTGGGACTGGTAATGATGGAGATACTCTGTGTCGAGAAAAGAGCTCCAAGACCCAGCCAGTTATTTGATTCAGGGTCATTAAAATTTTCAGGGTCATTAAAATTCTTATATATTTCATGATAATGAACATTTACACACATAGTTGTTCTCTGTACATGCTGCTAATTTTTTCTCTCACTTTGGTTCATTAGGGATGGAACCTATAAAGGTGCCTCTTGAGGAGAGCAATGAACCAATGCAGATTTGCCAGAGCAAGGTCTGTGCTGACAGGTGAGCCTGTGGGAAGCTCACAGCCGGAGGGGAGTGCAACCTCCATTTCCCCTGCATACACCCTGCTCTAACCATACTGGCTTCTCGCTCTTTGATGTCTGCCAAGCGCTTTTCCTTCCTCAGGACTGCATTCACTGTTCCCACTGCATGGAATGCACCTCCTCTCTTTATACCTCTCCTGGGAGAGAGTCTCATCTCCCTCACCTCCAGGTAGTCTGACTTCCATCTGGTCTCTGCTAAACACCTCCCTCTTGGAGGAGGGCCCTCTGACCACCCTCGGGAATCAGCTCCCCTCTCTGTCCTCATTCACTGTTAGTTTCTCCTCAAAACCCAGTTCAGTCCTTACTCTACAGTTGGCTCTGAGAGAGCAGTGCTCAGCCGTGTTGTTCCTGCAGAGCCTAGAACAGAGTGTGGTGAAGTGGGAAACAATTTAGAGAAAGTATGGTGGAGTTTGTGGCCACAGTGTGTGAGGAACAGACCTGATTAGCATTTTGGAAAGATTGACTGGTGGGTTTAGAGTAGTGGGGAGGGGGAGTACCAGTGGGAAGGCCAGCTGAGCATCTGTGATCATAACAGATGAGACAAAATGAACCCTATCAGGGTGGGTTCTAGGTGGTCATGAGATATGTATTACAATAATCTGAAGTAGCTGATGGACTGGATTTAGAGAATGAGGGTGAGGGGGTTTCAGAATGTCTTTCAGACTATATACCTTTCAGATTATATAACTGGGAATTATATTCCATATATTTGTGGATTATTACCTAATCTGAGTTACTGGTGATTAATTATCTCCACAATTCTAAGAACTATAGAACATGAGGTTAAAAATACGAGCATTTCTATTTCATATTGAATATATCAAATTCTGGCATTCATAATCTGGAATCTGGAAGCATGTAGAATAGCAAATTTTCTGATTGTGGAAACCTTTTTTTTTCAAAATTTATTTATACATACAGAACTGGGGGGTGGGGGTACAAGCCAGAGGAGCAGGGGCAGTGAGAGGCTTCACCAGAGACAGAGTAGGGAGCAGAACAGGTAGATCGATGAAGTACACTGCTGAGGGGAGCAGCAGGTGAGACAGGAGAGGTCTTCTGCTCCAAATGGGTCAGCTCCTTAGCTGAGGATTGAACTCATGCTGCAGCTAGCTTTTGTAGTGCTGTGCTTTAACCTACTGTGCCACCAGGGAAGGCCTGATTGTGGAAATCTTAACTGAGGGGTTCCCAGCCCACCTAATATCCCAATCACTTTACTCTACAAATACTAAAATATTAACAGTTCACTAATGCTTTTGGATCCTGTCCTGTCCCATTGTAAAATCTAGCTTTATGTTGTTTGGATAATTATTTAAAAATAAAGAACTGTATTTTAACATTACCACTCCTCCCTTCCTTCTCCCCCACTCCAATTTTTTTTCCCCCAGGGTAAATACTTACGATTGTGGAGAAAAAATTTCAAGCTGGTTGTCAAGGTTTTTTGGCCGTCCATGTCATTTGATTAAACTAAGTTCAAATTTTCAAAGAAACGCAAAGAAGAAACATGGCAAAGGTACCACATTTTGGATCACTTCTCAGGGGACAGGAAGTTGGGTTTACCCTTGCATATGTCAGCGCATGGAACAGATTTCCAGGGAGACTTGCTCATGAATAGAGAGTGGGATAGTCAGTCTTTGGCAGAGAGGTGTTTTAGCTGCTCACCAGATCAGCAGGACCCCATGGGTGGCCCCAGCATAGCTCTGAGGGGTTCAGGTAGGCTTCCAGCCAGCTGCCTAGCAGGTATCCAGGTGCTCTGTCTCGGTCCTGCATGCTTGGAAGCATAATGCAGTTTTTTAAAATAAAAGCACTAGTAATTTCTATGTTCTAAGAAAATCTGGGTACCTGGTCTTGGTACCCAGATAATTGTGAAACCTTGAAAAATCTTTTAACTTATGGCACCTCACCTTCTGTAAATGTTCAAGAGATTCGACAATTTTTTTTTCTGTGATAGGCTGCTGAAATGATAGAGCAGAGAAGATAGTACCTTGAAAGCACCTGGAACATAGTAGTTGCTCATTAAACACTGGAATACCAGATGGGTGGATTCTGGTTGTATTACTGAGTTGTGTAGTGATGACTTGTTCTAGTGATTAGCTCTCAGAGACTTTTAAGCTGAGTAGCAGTGTGTCCACACAGGGACTTGTAACCAAGTCTAAGGTGAACTTATGGTTCCCAAAGATATGTGATAGAAAAAGTAGAGGAAGTCATCTACTTTACTTTTACAAGTTTTCATAATTTTTTTCAAATCATAAACTAAAAGAATTTGAGCTGCTATGTCATTGATAAGAGGAGCAAAATGATCATTTAATTGTGGGGGTAGGTTGATAGTAGACATGGATAATCTTTTTTTTTTTTTTAAAGATTATTTATTTATGCATACAGAACTGGGGTACAGACTAGAGATGCGGAGGGTGAGAGAATTCACCAGGGACAGAGTGGGGAGCAGAACAAGCAGATCAACGAAGTACACTGCTGAGGGGAGCAGCGGGCGAGTCAGGAGAGGTCTGCCACGCCATGTGGTCACCTCCTGGGCAGGCAGGGATCAAACTCATGCAGAAGTGGCTTAAGCTTCTTTGTGCTGTGCTTTTACCTGCTGCGCCACCAGGGAGGGCCTGGACATGGATAATCTTATAGACATGATTAAAAGAGAGAAAGTGTGTTTCTATGAATAGAGACATGCAAGGGGTGGGGTTCCTCAGGACCAGCACTACCCTGAATATAATCCAGCCATCCATAGTGCCTACTGTGTACCAGGGGCTTGGCTGGGTCTTCAGGAGACTGGCTGAAATGATAAGCAATGGTCATAGTGCTTTGGGATCTCATTTTAGGGGCAGTGACTCAGCAGACAGTGACACTACAGCGTATGGGACATAGTGAAGGTTTGTGCAAAGCATGGAAGTGGGGAGGCATCCCCTGCATCTAGAGAGAGTCGCAGAGGATTCAGGGAGCAGATGAGTTTGGAATTGCATCTTCCTGGGCATTTCTAGGCAGGGAGGCAGAACGTTTCCTTGGAGCACCATGGCAGGGCTTGGCATTTGGGGGGATGGAGAAGAGTTTAGGTGACAGGCGAGGGATGGGTCTGGGCTGGGAGAAGGAATGGATATTGATGGAGGTGTCAGTACTATCTGGTAGCAGGAGCAGCTCACTGACCCTGTGTGTTTGAAAGACTCTCCTGGTGTGATCTGAAGCTTCATCAGAGAGGGACAGAAGGAAGCACAGAGGGCAGGCTGGAGGCTCCGGTGACTGCCCTGGTGTAGATGGGTAGGCACAGGTAGGCTCAGAGGACAGAAGAAAATCTTTTGCTTGCATGCTGGAGGATCGGGGGTGGCAGCATGAGAATGGTTGCACATCAAGGATGCCTTGTGGTGGGAGGCCTCCGAAGGTCTAGGTCTCTGGTTTTGACCATTTTAGAAGAAATTTATTAATGCTACATTACCTTGTTGTATGTTTTACATTGTTACCTACATTTAAATAGTTGCAAAGGATGTTACTTCCAGCATACTATAAATTAAATATTGTCATTTTAAATTAATCCTTGCTCATAGAACTTTTAATCACTAACCAGTGGGATCTCTGTAACATAGCAATTTGGTTCTCATGATTTTTCATAATATATATAAGTGTGTGTGTTAATATGGATGAACAAGTTATCTATTAATGGTCAGAAATTTTCTTTCCTTTTCCTCTTTCAACTGATACTTCTATTCTACATCCTTGATAGAAATGTACCTTAGTGTTACATATTTCATGCTTGAAAATCCTTCCTTGACGCCCCTATCATATTTAGCTGAAGCTGCAATCACATAGAAGTTGAAATATACTGATATTTTAAAAGTTTACTGTGTTTGTAAAGTCAGTGTTAAGAAATTTCTTTTAAGTTGAGTTCTTATAATTTGTCATTTGTAATAGCACACAGTTGAGTAAAACAGCTAAAGTACAGACTCCAAAACATGGTTACTAAACACAGAGAAAACATTGCTGAAAATGAGTCTCTTAATGAGATAGCTGAGCTTCCACCATTCGTCCCCCTATTTGTGAATGGCTGTCCCCCATGACCAGGGTGGTAGTGCTCAGCCTTTAAGACCTAGTTACTCAAGAGAGTTGATGATGAAAGGAGTTTGGCTCCCACATTGTCACCCAATCCTTTTCTTTGAGGGTCCTGACAGGCACCAGGATCTAACATTAAGGTGACTTTAATCACTGGTCACTTGACAACTTAATTAGATTGGGCAGTTTTGTGGCTAGCAGACTGGAACCCCTCTGACCTCCAGGAGGCCCATCACCCAAGCTTTAGGATGTGCTTGTTTCAGCCTGGGTGTTGAATGGGGCTTTTATTTTCTCCCCTGGAAGTGTTTAGCCCTAGGGGTGAGGCGCCACTTTTCTCTGTGACATAAGAAGGGCCTTTTGAGAGGAGGGCTGGGATTGCATCTCCCTTCTCAGACAACATTATAGAAAAGAGGACAAATAAGAGAAGGGGACCTGGAAAGTGACTCTCTTCGGAGTAGCTATGCTTTGGACTTTGAGGCCCACCAGAACCGATTTGGAGACAGCTCACTAGGTTTTGGCCCAGTCAACCCGTTTTATCAACATCATTGATGACAACAGATTTTGCTCCACCAGTGGGAGACAGGAGAAGGGTAACAGGCCATTTGCAGCTCTGAGTACACTTGATATTTCTTTCAATATTTTTCCTTTCAGTTTTAAAACTTACATTATTTATGTCTTAGGTGAATATTTCACACTTACCTAAAAACAAAGACAACTCCACTGACTAGATTCAGAGCATCTTTCTGGCTGCATCCTTCACGCCTTCTTCTCCCTTCCCCCTCCCCCAAATACCCCTCCCTCCCCTCCCAACTCCTTAACCCCCCACACCCATCTCCCCCCTCACCTTCCTGAAGGGCCTCTGACTCCACCTACTGCCTCATCGCCCATCTTCTGAATGTTGGCTCCAAGTGTTCTTTGCTAGAATAGTTTCACTCCAGCATTTTATTTTTCAGATTATTAATTGAGTATTTTGAGAGTCCCTTTATGTTTTTGAGATTCATTATTCATTATTTTTGTTAGTGGGTAATTGAGGGTACCGCAGGATCCTCAAACTTGCACACTCTATGGGTTCTACAATTTGCTGTATAAAGACAAAGCATACACTTAGTGTGAAAGAACTTTAAGAGAATAGTGTACATAGAGAAAGAAGGAAAGAAAGGATAATAGTTTCCCAGTGAAGTGCCCAAATTGACCCAACCCCTCATAGGTAAATGCCCAGCTAAACAGGGTGGCCAAAAGCAGGACCACTGAGACCCCAAAACTTGTCACAAGTCTGAGGTACCTTCTTCTGGGGGACCATAGGAAAGGGGCAGAAGGGGCCAGACAAATCTGGAATGATAGGAGCAAAATCAAAGTATAAGCTAAGGTAACAGCTGCCGTCGTCCACATCCCCACAGATGTCTCATCCACGTCTCTTCCCAGTGTCTCTACATGTCTCAACTCCATGGTCTTCTTCCATGTCCCCAAGACCCTGGTGTAAGTCCATAGCTGAGAAGTAAGCTGACCTTCTTCACAAGTCTGTCTGCTCCATGTGTCTCCTCCAAGTCACTGAGTGTCTCTGCAAGTGTCCTCTAAATTTTCACCTGGCTGAAATTTTCAGCTCCACCCTTTATTACATGGGCCAAGGAACATGGGACCTCCCCTTTTCATGGAGCTTACTCCCTCTAACATTTCCAGGTTACCATTTTTTCCCTAGTAGAAAAGTCTCTGCTTTTGAAAATGCAAGTCAATGGAAGAATGATTCATCTACATTCCAAGAAAGCAACTCTTCTTTTAAATACTCCATTGTTTTTCAGCTCAATCTGGTACCACAGCTACCCTTTCTCTGGTGAATGAGGCACAGTATCTGCTGATAAACAGATGCAGCCTTTTGGAACTTCAGCAGCAATTAAACATCAGGTGAGGTCCTTTACTTTGAGAATAGTAGACAGGTGTCCCAGGGGTCAGTTCACTAAGTGCTGAACTCACTCAAAGGGGAGAAAGGATTCAGTAGTTAAGGAGTTCAGACAAGAAAAAGGCCAAAGAAGTTGCTAAGCCCAGGGACGCCGGCTCCCATTAATCTTTTGGAGGATTTTTTTTTTTCAAAATCCTTCTTGATCCTCTAGTACTTAAAGGAGAACCCCAACTGTCATTCCATTTCTTAACATTTTCTTCGAGTGACCAATAACCTGACCTAATTTCATTGTCCCTCCTTCACTGTCCTTTGTTCCCTAAAAGCTTTGCCCCATTTCTAAAGTCACTTTGAATAGAAAGTACAGTGGTACAAAAAGTTTTTAAAGCTGTAATTATAGGTTTTACCTTCAGGCAGAACTGGCACCTGCTTACTTTCCCAACACCCTAATAACAATAAGATGTTGACTTCAGAAAGGGTCTTGATTAAAAAAAAAAGAAAGAAAGGGTCTTGATGAGTCTGACCTTTCTCGTGTTCTTCAGAGGAGATTCAAGTCCCAAGATGGTTAGGCAGTTGGCTAAAAAAGGACTCAGCTGTTATTTGGGGCTATGACTGGCTGCTTGTTTCTTCTCCACATGGCAGGGAGCATGGTAAGCTAGGATCCTGTGACTCTTGCACCATCTGATCGTGTGTGTGTGTGTGCGTGTGCGTGTGTGTGTGTGTGTGTGTGTACGCATACTTGCAACTGTAGTTTAACAAAAATGTCAAAGATGGACTGTCAGTACTTCCTGTTTAGAATCATTAGCAAAAACATACAATAGTGTTTTCCCTGGCCATAATGTAGCTTGCCCTTCCTGGAAGAGGCTGTGTGGCTCCTGGGTGGTCACTGAGATTTCCTGGCACTGAATCACCCTTCTCCTCAGGTAGCCAGGGACCAGGACAGCCCTGAGGGCTAGCACTCTTTGGCAGTCGAAGATCATAAAGCAGGTTGGGGGGATTCTTGGTGTGGAAAGGTAGGAGGTAAGGACCAGCTTCCTATGACTATGGCTCCTCTGGGAGGAGGCCTAGGGTCCTAGTTTCTTACCATGTTGGTGTGGAGCCAGTTGACAAGCAGGGGAAGGCAGGAGAAGTGGTCAAAGCTAAGAGGCACAGCTTGTGGCTAGTACCTGGCAGGGGTCGCTTGTGGCCCTGGTTGGTGTGTCTTTCTGTCCTGTAATTAATGGACTCTGTCAAACATGCTGATCACATTAGCTTTTGGATGTAATACTCTTCCTATTACAAAATACAAAAATTTAACCTGGAGTGTAAATCCTGAGTGGAGAAATTTAGGACTGGAAAGCACTGATCCTCTTCTTTCAGATGTGGAAACTGCAGTCTCTCTAGTTCCAGCTGATTGTTGGCATTGCACGTAGTGGCAAAGCTAGACCTGGTCACCCTGGTTGCTGGCTCTTCCTAAGCCAGTCACTGTTGAGGCGGATTGAGACCCCTACTCTCCCTCTAAAGCTTTTGAGGTTTGTTTCAGGGAAAATTACTTAATCCTCATTTTCAAGGATTAAATTTTCTTTTTATTGAAGTACAGCAAAGTACAAGTATTATCAGCACACAGCTCTATGAATTTTTAAAGATCTGTATATATGTAAAGATGTGTACATGTAACCATCATCCAGATCAAGTAGAGAACACTTACAGTACGCCCAAACCTTCCTTAGAACCCCTCTTAATCAGCCCCCTTTCCCCAGATCTCCTGCCTGCCCCTGTCAAATGAAGACCCCTGCTCTTCTGATGTCTTTCATCTGTTCTTGGATGCAAAATAGTGGGACGACACAACATGCTCTTTATGGTGTTTTACCCCTGGGGGGAAGGGATGTGTGGTGGTGTAGAGACCATTTTATGGGACCTCACAGCAATTGAACTTTTTTTGGTAAAACAGTAGTTAGAAAAATATCATACGCTAGTTAAAACTACAAACAGGATTAATGTTAGGGAATAGACATTGATGCCTCCCCTGTGGGCACTGTGTTGCTTTATGATCTTCGACTACCAAAGAGTATGAGCCTCAGTGCCGTCCTGGTCTCTGTTACTGACACCTGTTGACCATCTTACCTTTGTGGAAGTGTTTCCGTGGGAGTTTTTCGCTTGGTTTCTTTACTAAGATCTACTTACCCATTGCACTGCCTCTTTGAGTCTCTCCTGGCCATGGGACTATCTCCAGGAGAGAGCATGGAGGGCTGTCTTTCACGTGGGTATCTCTTGGCCTGAACTTATGGCAAAAACTTAATCTCATCATCCAGACCTCAACTCAGAGTACAGTGAAAAAGTCAGGCATCGCATGGTAAATAGACAGAATTATGACAATGGTGCTGTAATCAAGCCCCCTTTCCTATTTTGGTATGCTTTAAACAGTGGTGAGAATGGAAAGGAGGAATTCCCAATGAAAGACCTCATCCCACGATTCCGTGCCAATATTATTACCGATGGAACAAGGCCTTTTGAAGAAGAGAAATGGGAAGAGATTTCAGTTGGCTCGATGCGTTTCCAGGTGAGTTCCAGGAAGTTCTATCACCCTTTTTCAAGGATTGCTGATGGAACTTCATCTCTGTCCTTGGCCAGGATGGTGGCAGGCAGAGTCTGTCCCTCTCTTACTCTTAAGTACAAAATTTCAGAGTCAGGTATGTGACGTCGCCACTCTGGGATCCCATTGGGACGATCCATTGCTTGTTCCCCACACAGGTGTCCACTGTCTGTTTCCCGTGTGGAGGAGAGACTGCCCGTACAGGTGGAGAGCTCAGTGCTGTCTCCACCGTAGCCCTGTCTAGGTTAAAATTCTTGTTTTTTGGGGAATGCTGTATCTATGGGAACTTCATTCTCCTGAAACTTGTTGGACTTTCTGGCTACCTGAAGCTCATGGAGGGGACCCAGGTGTCTAGCCATGAACTTCAGTACCCACTGCCACTCCCTCCACTTGCTCAGTTGTTTTGCCTCACCGGCAGCTGGGGAGAAGCTCATGGCCAGAGGACAGCAATGGGGGTGCCCTCTCTACTGAGGCTTTGGGCTCCCCAAGACCATGCTGTGAGCTTCAAAGATAGGAGAAAGGGAGGTGAGACCAACAGTCCATACTGGGGTGACCTCCTGAGACCTGACCTGCTGACCTCTGACTTCTCTGAGCACATCACGCCTCCCCACTGGCTGTCATGGGAGGTCTGCCATGAGCATGAGTGGTATAGTTAAAAAGGCCCTCATAGTTGAGCAATACCAAGAAGAAAGTGAAATTATTTTTCAGTGTAAAAAAAAAAAAGGCCCTCATATGTTAACAGAAAAGAAAAAAGTTTGCAGCTCAATAATGACCAGATGCTTCTTTCATTGCACAAGCGAAAGGTACAAAGGAACTTGATTTCTTTACAACCATTTTCTCCTCTTCTCACTCCTGTGCACACAGGAAGTATGTACAGAAATAAGAAAACTCAATTAAAACAAAAATGTTTCTTGTCCTGTTCCTAACATTCACATTCTAACTGGCAGGCATTAAACTGTCACAGGTAACATCACTGAGGTCATAAAAGCAAGATTTCCAGGTTTCCTAAACAGCTGGCATGTGGAGTGTGCCAGGAAGGGACTGCCCAGCACTGGCCTGGAGAGGCTTGGCTGACCCCTGACCTCCAAGGCCTCATTTCCTTATCTAGATCCTTAGCTGGGTTTGGTGGTGATTTCAGATGCTGGTTCTGGAAAGTCAAACACAGACCTGGCATTTGGTACTCCTCACAATTGAGATTACAACTATCCACTATATAGAAATGACTACGAGCCTCCTGGGGATGGTGCAGCCCAGCCCGCTGTGCCCATGAGGCACCCATGCAAACCTCAGTGAGAGCACCTGCAAGGGGAGGTACCATGTTCCCAGTGCGAGATGGAGCCGAGTGGCCTCGTCATATTCCGTAGAGGCAGTGGGCTCAGGGAGGCACGTGTGCAGAAGGGCGCAGAGTCTTGGCTTTGGACTTGCACCAGGTGTAACAGCGTGGACCCAGGAAAAGGGCAGGTTCCAGGTTCCCTAACCCACCCAGAAGGAGGGTGGAGAGGTCACTGAGGTGGAAGGAAGCAGGATGGAGCCCGGAGGGAGACCTGAGGGAGGCACATGGAGCAGAGAGACATGTGAAGCGACTCTTGTTTCTTGGCTCTGGGCTGATTGAAAACAGACGTGGGCGAGAGACCGTGGGAGGTTCACTATGACAGTGTTTATCTTGATTTTGCTCTTTTCCTCCCAGACTTGTCTGGCTATTTCTCACCCTTTTCTATGGGTCCCGGCCAGAAGGTGTTTTAGGCTTGTGCCAGCTTTCAGGCTTGTTTTGAGCCAATCCCTTTTGGGTGGACTTTTGCCCACAAGGGGCCAAGTAACTTTGGGTGTTTGATTTAGAAACTATATTCCTTGTCTTTTCTGTTTCACGTATTAATTGTATTAAAGTCCCTTTCCATTAAAGATCTTATATATTTTGTCTTGATGTGGCAGATGGCAGAACCTATTTAGAGCAAGCAGGTCTGGGGGTTTGGTGGTGCCTCTCTCCCTGCCCTGTAACACAGGGATTTGCGAGACATAGAAGGAGAGATTTGTAGAGACATGTGGGAGAGACACAGGTGAGAGACACATGTTGGATGCGACAGTGGGAGCCATTACCTTGATTTTTAAAAAAAGACTTATTTATGCATACAATAACTGGAGTGTAGGCCAGAGAAGTAGGGGATGAGAGGATTCACCAGAGAAAGAATGGGGAGCAGAACAGGTGGATTTACTGAAATACACTGCTGAGGGGAGCAGTGGGTGAGGCAGGAGAGGTCCCTTCACCATGCTGTGCCATGTGGGTCAGCTCCCTGGCTGAAGATCAAATTCATGCCACAATGGCTGGTAATAGCTTGATAGAGCTGAGACTTTAACCCCTGTGCCACCAGGGAGGCCCCATTACATTTATATCTTTTGCATGTGTGTTGAAAGAAGCATCTGGTCACTGTTGAGCTGCAGACTTTCTTCTTTTCTGTTAACATTTATGAGGGACTTTTTAACTATAGAAGTCACTCATGCTTGTGGTAGACCTTCCAAAACAGAAGTTCTACCATATTGTTTGGCAACTTTGAGAAGCGGTGTGCTGTGTTTCATGCACTGTGTGCATTTGTCTATGTTTAAATAATATGCATACATACACACAAGCCAGAATTTTGTTTCCTGTTTAGTTCACTTATAAAATAAACATTTTATTTAAAACCTTTTGTGGATTAATTTCAATACCTGCATGATATTTATATAGCTATGGCATCTTTGCCATAACCATTTGATGTTTTAGATGTTATAAGAGTTTCCCTGTCACAAATAGTGGGAGAAATATCCTTGTATAGGAACTTGTGTTTGCACTTTTGATTCTGTTCTTAAGTTGATTCCCCCATAGTGAAATTGCTGCATCAAAGGACAGGGACTCTACATTCTTTCTGATGACGTGCTCTGTGCTCAGTTTGTCTTCCAATTAGTGTTCTTGGAGGATCCTCAAAACTCTGAGATTCGCAAAAGTTTGCTCTCTCTTCAAAACCCTGAGGCTGCAGCATTTTCAGTTGACAAACAAATGTGGATGACTCCGCAGTCAGTGCTGTGAGGAGGCCCTGCTCTCTGGCCTGCGGTCAGCATAGCACTGTTTGGGTCTGTGTGAGTCTGACGACTGGGCACGACCTTGTCCAGCTGATTCTTTGGGACTGGACTCCTAGCTGCAGAGTGGGAGGTTGGCTCACTTTCCCTTCTTTTCTCCCAGGTTGTGGGGCCTTGTCACAGATGCCAGATGATATGCATCGACCAGCAAACCGGGCAGCGGAACCAAGAGGTTTTCCAAAAGCTTTCTGAGAGTCGAGAGCGAAAGGTAAGCATGATTCCACAATTTGGGACCTTGTAGTACTCACAGATGTGCATATTACTATTAGGACTAATAGTGCTGAGTCACTTTTAGAAGTGGGGACCATTCTGTGATGGGCCACCATTAAGTTTCTGACCGTCTCTATGGCACCATCTTATTTTTCCTTTGCATCTATTTCCTCACAATTTGTTTTCTCAGTCTAGTTTGTGTTTTTAATGCTCTCAAGTCTTGTTGAAGCGATATGGAATATAAATAAGACATAAGTAAAGTAATTCTGTTGCCTCAATCACATGTTCTTCACGTCAGAGGTTTCTTGAAGAGTAAAGTGCCTTGTGAGTAGAGCACCTGCATAGAAAGATCCAGTAAATTTCACTATACAAAGTCATCTGCTAGAGGGTTGTTGTGGATTCCAGCCTATAAAAACTAAAATAGCCAACAGACTGGTTCTTTGGGGATATTTATTTCTAAACTTGCACTTTCTGCTAGGACTTACTGCTTGCGAAGAATTTCAGGAAGCCTAATAAGCATCAGCCTGTATAGGGCAATTCTTAAAAAGTAACTAAAATAATAGAAACATTCATCTCCTTCCAATAATAAATGGACATGCTAACTTTCCTGATTTCTCTAAAATTAAGGTTTTGTTTCATATTTGGTTGATACGAGTCTCTTTACAAATATGGGTGGATGTGGCCTGCAGAGGTATTAGCTTGAGTGTCATACCAATATGTCTGTCTGCTCAGCTAAGCCAACCCATGGCAACGGGGGAGACGGGGGTCTCAGGCCTGCCCTCATACTTCAGAGGGTTCCTTCTGGCTTGCATGCATTGATGACAAACCTTGAGTAGACTTAAGTAATTCTGGACAATTGGAGGACTTAACTCACATCATATATTCTGAAGGAAAATGCAGAATTTGCCATTTATTTCACAAAATGGCTTTATATTGGTATTGAACAGAAGTTGACCTGGCTGTGGTCAAAGGTCAAGAACAAGAATAAGGTGCTCCTGTAGGGAGTCAGGATAGCAAAGGAGATAAAAGGAATGAGCCCACAAATACAGAAGCAGGTAATGATTGTTGAGAGAGAACACTTTAGAATGAGAATCTCTGGTATCTGAAGTTGAACATTCCTGTTTCTCACTAACTTCCACTAAGAGACAGGTGAGACATAGCCTAGTAATTGTCTTCAAAGATTGAACTTAATTTTTAATTAATTAATTCAGTTGTACAAATTTTGTATACAAAATTATTGCATCTGCTGAAGTAACTTACTGTTTTTCTCACAGGTGCACTTTGGAGTGTACCTGATGCATGCCCCCCTGGATCTGTCTACACCCAGTTTCCTGTCCGTGGGATCTCAAGTGCTCCCTGTGTTGAAAGAAAATACAGATCACCACAATTTACCTGCTTCTGAGAAACATCAGGCTGTTACCTCCTAAAAAACTTTTCTGCATAAGCTAAAAATTTCTCTTTTATGACTGTCTTTACTCTTTTTTTTTAAGCTTTATTTATTTATTCATACAGAACTGGGGTACAGACCAGAGATGCGGAGGGTGAGAGGATTCAGCAGAGACAGAGTGGGGAGCAGAACAGGCAGATTGACGAAGTACACTGCTGAGGGGAGCAGCAGGCGGTCAGGAGAGGTCTGCCGCGCCATGTGGTCACCTCCGTGCTGAAGTGGTTTAAGCTTCTTAGTGCAGTGCTTTCACCCGCTGTGCCCCAGGGAGGGCCAGACTGTCTTTACTCTTATTGAGGTCTGCAGTGGAGCTTGTTCGCCCTGGCTGTAGAGACTGCACTATACTCTTCACACCCTAGTTGCACTGCTCCAGCTTGGAGAGCAGTCCGAGGCTTCTGCTTTCCAGGAAACAAATCCAGCACAAGCGCTTTGCCGACATGTTGCCAAGCTTCCTTGTATATTGGGAGTGTGAGAATTTCAACTCATTGGGAAGAAAGAACCTTTATTTTGCCACTTTACCACATGGTTAGTTTGTCTTTAGGAAGAATCTTTAGGCTCTCTTTAAACCCCTTTTTTTTGCTGTGAAAGAGCAGGAGTACCCAGCGACCTGGAGGGACTGTGAATATACCACTCAAACCTCAGGGACATGGGGGATGTGGCTTATGTTCAGGGCCAGGGTGTGGCTTGTGACCGTATTCCTTAGGGGAGGTTTGACCGGCACATTTGAGTGTTGAGCAGAGGCACAGGCCGGCACCCCCCTTCCCGTGGCTTTTATCCTTGCCCACCATTCCTCTTCCCCCTGGAGTGGATGCACTGGGAGGGCACATCATTGTGCTCTGTGATCGTGGAGTTATGTCAGCAGTGTGCTCTCCTCCACATGCCCACCAGTGGGGTTGCTTCATCTGCTTTGGAGCCCCCAAATCCTATTCAAGAGAGGCGCTGAGGGATCTCATCAATCTGTACCATCTCTGACCAGCACATCTGCCGCCTTCCACGGATTATCCAGTGCAGGAAATCTCATGTCTAATGAAGTTACCCAGACCGCTGGCTTGCCCAAAAGTTCCTCTGTGTTGAGCTTGTACCTGTCTCCTGGTGACTTTCAGCCAAGATCTAGCCCTGTCAACTGGAACAATGGAGCGTGGGCTGGTGCACCCCCATGTCCACTCTGCCCAAGTCCAGCTGAAGTGTGGAGTCCATGTGAGAACACCAGACCTTCAGCACTTTGTTGCATTTGTCCAATTCTTTCTCTCCCCCAAACCTTTTACCCCCCCCGGCCCTCCCACGCCCCCACATCTTCCTAAAGCCAGCCTCGCCATGTCTCTGTCACTGTTATTTAGTGCACCATGTTCTGATTTATTTGGAGCCCTCAGGATTAGGGGCCCACTTGTTTTATGATCTTACTTGTAGCACATTGTGGTATTCCCAGCACAATACAAAAAAGAGGTGAGCTGTGCTTCTGTTATCAAGCGTTGACGAGCTGGAGCCATGCATGGCACTTTTGTTGGCTGTGCAGATTCAAGTGTAAAAACTGGCCTCTGACTCAGTGGTTCTGAGGTCAGTGAAGAGTAGACAAATGGGTAACTTGGAGGGGGGAGTGTATTTCAAATGGTGTGTTGAGACTGAATCTCTTCTGAGACTTCCCACTTCCATGTCTTCTGGACCGGCCTGCCCCGCCCTCATCAACCAGTGTGCTGGAGCCCAGTGGGTTCAGGTGAGGGCCAGTTTCCTGAGGGAGGAAATGGGCTCCCAGATGGCACACCGCAGAATTTTCCAGGAATTCATATCCCATTAAATATGATGGGAATCAAGTAAGGAAACATACTAAAAAATGTGGTTACCTGCGCTATCAATATGTTTTCAGGTACAAGCGTAACTCATTTTATTCTTTTAACAACACCATGCCTCTTTATGTGATCGCGACTTTTATGACGTACTTTTGACATTTTAATGCAAATACTTTTCTTTACAGGACAGTTATTTAATTAATCATTTATGTTTATTGATTTAGTATTGATCTGTCTCCATGAAACTGTAAGGTCCATGAGGACAAAGCCTGTGTCTGTTTGGCCACCTGTGTATCTGGTGTTGGCAGATAATAGGTGTTCAATAAAATTGGTGGACTGGTTGATTTCATTACAGCTGACCCGGGTTATAGAATTAGTCATTTGTATGATTTTAAAAGCAAATTCTTTAGTGTATAATTTCAGTGTATGAGGTTGTCACTAAAAATGTATTTTGTATGTTTTCGGGAGTGGTTTCACATTCAGACTTATTAGGCCAGTGTGAGTCTGGGTCCCTTTCTTGGTTCCTACCTCCTAAAGTTCAGCCCTGTGCTCTTCAAGGGAAATGTCATTCCCCTTGAATTTAATTCTAATATCAAATCTCAGAATCACAGATAGTTCAAATTATGTTTTTTAAATGAGAATTTTCTGTTTAGCACTGTGCCTCAAAATAATGCCTGAGTAAGCCACACCTACCACCTGGTGGTTACACTGGGTAAGTGCAGGAGGCTGAAGACAATTCAGATTTGATCCTCAAATCCTGGAGGAAGGAAAACTAGGGTCTTCTCTCTGCCTGGCTTCCTTATTAGAGCAGCACAGAGGAAACTCATCACTGATGTTGGAGTACTTTAAACGTTAGTTCCTGAATTATTCTTTTGTCATATTAATTTTCAGCCAACATCTTTTTTTTATCATGTTTATTGCATTGAGCATTCTTTTCAAGTCTCCCATTTTAAAGACTTTTTTTAAGTTAAAAAATTTAATATTATATATGTATATATTAATACTACATCATTCTTTATATATATATATATGTATATATTTATACTACATCATTGTTCATTTTGTACATTTTTTCATCTGGGTTGTAATCCCTGTGGACTTCCCACTGCCAGTTCACCCATGTGCCAATACCATAGTACTGTGTGCTCTTCCTGCCCTAAAATTAAATTTTATTGGTTTACCAATCATTAGATAAAAACAATATACTCTCGTGAGTACAGATTAGTACCTTAGTATGAGTATATGCTTCACCCCCTCATTCACAGACATCCAGGGCCATCACACTATCACAGTGTCCACCTGTCCCCTTTCAGCCCACCTCTCCCCCTTCCCTTGGCTAACCAGTGTATTTCCACAGCATAAGGGCTCTTTATGTTGTGTTCTGCCAGTGTTTTTCCTTTGGCTTGTTATATTCTGCTTATAAGTGAAACCATCTGATAGTTGTCTTTTATTTTCTGACTTATTTCACCTTGTGTCATCTATGTTGTCCCATAAGGCACAATTTCATGTTTTTGACAGCTGAGTAGTATTCTACCAGATATATATACTACCTGTTCTTTATTCAGTCACCTATAAATGGGCAATTTAGATTGAGTCCATGTTGCTATGAACACAAGGGTATCTGTATCTTTTTTATATTAGTGTTTTCATATTCTTTGTGTAAATAGGAATGATGTTGCTGGATCATATATTTCCATTTTTAGTTTTTAAAGGATCTTAGAATTTTTTTTAAAGGATGCTGTTTTGAATTGGCTGATTTGTTAGCTAGATATTTCTCTTTATCCCTCCCTCTCTTTAATATATAGAACTTGGTTTCAATAGCAGTTGTAAGTTTTGTGAACCTCAAGCTTATGCAATATGAATGTCCTCTTTAATGAGAATAAGAGATTACAAAATAAAAACTAGGTACAAAAATGAATATTGGCTTCTATGAGAAAAGAATGGGTTTTGGAAGGGCTCTGTGTGAGGATCCCAAGCTTAACCTTTGTTATTTTTGCAATGTACTCACTGTTGCTGGTTTTCTTGTTGCTCTCCTTTCCTAATACAACTAACACACCACTCTGCCTCCCAAGGATTAATTTGTTCCTGCTTCTTGCAGTTTATAAAATCAACCTCACTCTGTTCACTTTCTAACATGAACAGCATATAAGACCTCTCCTGGTCTTTTCAGTCCTACCTGTGGGAGGAATTAATGACTTCATTCTCACTTCTTAACAGCAGTTCCCCTGGAAACTGCTTGCTCTGGTTGGGGGTCAGGACTGAGACATAAGGATTGCTTTCCCTGAGTTGTCAGAACTCTCTGTTGCAGGAAGTTTGTTCTTATAGACAGAATGCTTGTGTGCCCACCCCATCCCCCACTCACATGTTGAAACTTAATCCCCAGTGTGACCAGTGAGAGGACATTTGGCTGGGAGGCCTTCAGGAGGTGATTATGTCATGAGGGTGGAGACTGGTGAGTGTGGTTTAAGTGCCCCAGAGAGCTCCCTCCCTCCTCTGTCTTGTGAGGACACAAATGAAGACTGCTGTCCAGTGAGGAAGGGATAGACTCTCACCTGACACCAGATCTCTTTAGCACCTTGATCTTGGGCTTCCCAGCCTCCAGAACTGTGACTAACAACCGCTTGTAGTCTATGAGCCACTGGTCTGTGGTGTTTTATTGTAGCAGCCT